TGAAGACTGTATAAATAGAGTTAATTCACTTGTAATAAATTAATATCCAGCACTAGAACTGAGCTGAAAAGGTACTTTCATCACTGAAATTCTCTTTTGCAAGAAACCACCAAAGTAATTTGCGGCAACATCAGCTGAGTTTGTGTAACCAGGGTGTTATTCATATCAAGGACATTTGCATGAAATGGATGAATTATAGTTTTATTTAAAACTTAGTCTGAGGAAAGTACAATTACAAAATTATTTAAAATGGATTCACTGTTATACCTGGGAGCGGGAACTTAATGAAGGATATTTCCAGATCCGTCTTTGGTGGCTAATAGTTTAAAAGGAATGATATACTGTGTTTACATCTAATGGAAGCAGTCCCACGTGGTTAAGGGCAGGTGTGCAGTACCCAACCAGGAATGTAGTATGGATGGGTAAGGTTTGAAGGATGTGTTACAGGGAGATACATAGCCCATAGTGGCCTCCATGCTTTTCTGTTCTTGATAATTTGCAGTTGTTCTAACTTCCAGTGCAGTGAATGTTTAGAGTTTTCAAGTGAAACTCACTTCAGAAGAATGTTCGTGTTTCTCTTGAACTTCTTCTGTGATTGGAAAGCCTAGTGCCTTGAGACATCATTTGGAGACATGATTTGAATGCTGGATTATGGATTAACACTCTTAGAGGTTTTTTCCTACCTCCAAAACTACCAAGACTCCTGTCAAAAATTAGTAGCTGGGTTCTCAGAATCCCCATTCGAAACCTACCCTGCCTGGGAACCATCACAATCATCTGGATTTGAAGAGCTTAGTGATTCTCTGCCTGAAATTAGTGTGAGTACAAGGAAAATGCCTGCAGATTTTGTTGCACTGAATCTACTGAAACATTTAGAGTAGCTGTGGCTTACAACCTGTTCAAATTCCCATTTCCTTGCAATACTAGCAGTGATCACAGGCTGTGCAGGTGACATGGCTGTGGGGAGAGGGTGGATGAACCCATTCAAGGCATTCCAGATACCAGTGCTGAGGCTCAAATTGCATAGCTGAGAACAAGAAAGTCCAGAGTGCTGGTAGCATCTGGACAGCAGAGTTTATGTGAGCAGCTGGTGCTTCTGTAACATTCTGTGCCTTTTGGCATTGTCAGCACCTCTCCTTACTGCTGGAAGGAACACACACTGCAGTAGCCCTGCAATTCCACTGCTCCATGGTCTGTAACATTCTACATGGACTCTGCCATGTGGCAAAGCAAATAGAGAGTTACTGACAGAAGATATCCTGATATAGCAGATACAGCAGAGTCCCACTGGACCATAAACAAGGTCAGACTGAACAAACTTACAGTACCCCACATGGCTCATATGCTGCCAGGAGAAGTTTGGCACTCAGGTCTGCTGGGGCACAGCTAGGCTGCCTTCCAGGGACCCAGCCCTGTGGGTCTATCTTCCCTCACAGGGGTCCTCACCTGAGTTAAACTCTCTTGATAAGTTCTTTTCCTCAAACTTCCCATAAGTGTGTCAGATCATGGCTCACAGACCTACAGCAGGCCATTTATGTTGGATGCTTATGATAGGTGGTCACATGCTTTATTGTAAACTGTATTATCCCCTTCTGCTGACTGTCACTACAGGAAGTCAGGTGAATTAGGTTATAAAGGTTACAACCTTTAGTTTATAAAGGAGGTCTAGTTTTCTTTCAGGGCTTAGTTTGGATCCAGCTGCCCCATAGGCTGAGGGAATAGCTGAATGGGAATTGTAGAGGAATAAAAACATCTCCAGATGAATGAGGTACCATAGAACATATATGTTTACCACAGATTAAATACAGCCTCTAGATGAAAATTTTAGTTATTTATGTCTATCAGAATCTTTCTTTTTTTGTCTACCTTTAATTACACTAATAGAATGAAGTGGGTTCCCTATCACATATTAAGACAAAAGAAAACTGCAAGGACAAATGATGCAAAGTAGACTGAGACAGATTTTCTTGGAATTAGGAAAAAACACTCCATCTCCCTACAGATGCTTTGCAGAGTTGTCCAGTTCCTAAAGAATATTATCAGAACTGTGCTGGGAGTAATATCAGTGAGGTATGTTCAGTGCCCAGGCTCTATAATTCTTTATACTGTGAATTGTAGGCATTTTTCTGCTTTTGGTGTTATGTTTGGCACAAGATTTATTAGTTTCCTGTCTCCTACACGTCCCCTTATTCCAGAGGGATTTAGGATGGTCCCTCTTCCTACCCCCAGTCCCTGCCACAATTCAGGTCAACCTGCTGGTCTGGAGCATGAAGTTGCTCAGCTGGAGAAAAAGTGTAGAGATGCCCCACAGCTTGGTAGATAACTCCCAAAGCAGCATTTAGAGGTATCTATCCCGTTTGCTAGTTTTGCTAGTAGCAGCCATGCTTCACAATCCAGTAGGGAAACTATTAATGCAGCTGTTGTCCTGCCATCTCAAGCACAAAGGCCTGGGAGGTAGATGGGAAAGGAAGTTGCTCTGCATCTGATTTCCCTAAGCTTTTGCTCTGTCCTAGCAACTATGGGATTTTTCCTAACCCCTTTCCCTTTAGCAACAGGCCAAGAACCTGTTTCTCTGCCACCACACTCTGATAAAAATCTCACCACTTACCTTCTAATCAGTCCTGGTGCACAGATTTATCAGGATGGGATCTCACGGGAGCTGCTCCCAGCTCCTGTTGAGGTTGTGTAGGCAGCACAGAGCAGGCTGCCTCACACCACAGCAGGTTATCATTGATCTTAACTTTGTAAAAGCCGCTGCTTTGCAGAGGCATGGTCTCTCCCCATCCCCTGAGTGATGCCATCTTGCCTCATGAGGAGCAGTAACTTGGGGCTTCCACCAAATTCTTGCCACTTGGAGCAAGGGGACTCATACAAGGCAGCAATCTCCAAGTCCCCCTGAGTCAGAAGCACAGCTCCCCATACACCAACCCAATCCTACAAACATCTGCAAACCTGTAAAGCACCTCTGTGTTAAGTGGGCCAAGTCTGGATCAACAGGTCAGAAAGCCAGAGAGATGTCAGGGGTGGGGAGCTCGTTTATTGATTTGGAGCTTGCATTACCTTTGCAGTGTGCAAAAGAAACTTCCAGGATCACTGTAGAAATGAGCAATGTACATTCAGAAGCCTCATCTTCCTAGGGATGGGAACTCAGCTCTGCCTGCAAAAAATATATCCAGGATCACTATGCAATGGCATGAAAGCAGTGCAGTGAGATAGAAGCTGTCAAAGTTAGTGCCTCCTCGAGGCAACAAATGATTTGCTACAGAGTTTAGCCCCTGTGCTCCACTGTAATTAGAGTAGGTGATCTACAGACTCACAACAGCAAAAAATTGTTTAGGTATCTCTTGAAAACAGGTTTTACCCAAATAAGCACATAAAAAGAGAATTGTGATTTCCATATAAGAAAAGTTGCGCTCATTTAACAGCTCTAAGACATATTTTTTACCTGATATCTGCTATGTTAGTAAAAGTGACTGAAGGTGTTTGTTGTTTTTAAGAGATTTATAGAATGATACAAAAGACTGGAGTAATTCATGAAGTGATATTCTTAAATTACATTGTATATTTTATTGATCATCCACAGCTGATCAATATTAATGAATGACATTTTTTCACAGACAATTCTTTGACAATTCATGCTATGCCTAATGTCACTGTCTCTTAATGTTTTTTGCTGACCTTGTGGAGTGCAAAGAGGCACTTACAGTAAGAGCTACATCAGAATAAGTCTATTGTTTCAGGGATTATTCTCTTCTCTTTTGTCAATGATTTCTTAGGATGTCCTAGGCTAAGAGTTGAAACATGTGAGAAAGAACAGGTTGATTGAGGATAAACAACAGCCTTGGCAGCAAAGAGTGATGTAAGGAGGAAAGGACTCTGTAAGGACCAGCTGAGGTGAGTAGTGGAGAAGACAGAGTAGAATGACAAGAGTTGTTGCCTACTGTGTTAAAGGTTTCAGTGAGTAATCCAGAACTGAAAGCAGAACAAAACTCCTTAGCAGAGAGGATTCACTTTTAACAATAACAACATACTTAAGAAAAAGTTATCTGCTGTGGAAAATTTGGAAAATATTTTAATAAGTTGAATTGTTGTGGTGGTTTGACCTTGGTTGGATGACAAGTGACCATTAAAGTCATTCCATCACTCCTTTTCTCAACTGAAAAATGCAGAGAAAATAAAATGAAAGGTTCATGGGTCGAGATAAGTATAGGCAGAGATCACAAACTGATTATTGTCACAGGCAAAATAGACTCGACTTGGAGAAATTAGTTGAATTTATTACCAATCAAAAGCAGAGCAGGATAATGAGAAGTAAAACAAATCTTAAAAACACCTTTTCCCCAGCTCAGGGAGAAGGGCAATAAGGCTCATGGTCAGTTCATCACATGGTTCTACTGTTTATTCTTCTTCAGGGAGAGTAGTCTTCCCCCTGCTCCAGTCTGGGGTCCCCCACAAAGAAGACAGTCCTCCATGAACTTCTCCAGTGTGAGTCCTTCCCATGGACTACAGTTTTTTATAAACTGCTCCATTGTGTGGCCCCCCCATATGATGCATTCCTTCAGGCACAGGCTGCTCCATTGTGGGTCCCTTCCACAGGATTCAGTCCTTCAGGCACAGGCTGCTCCAGCACGGGTCCCCCACGGGGTCACAAGTCCAGGCATCAAACCTGCTCTAGCATGGGCTCCTCACTTCATGGGTCTACAGGTCCTGCCAGGAGTGTGCTCCAGTGTGGGCTTCCCATGGGGTCACAGCCTCCTTCTGGACACCCACCTGCCCCTGAGTGGGCCTCCTCTATGGGCTGTAGGTGGATCTCGGCTCTCCCCTGGACCTCCATGGGCTGCACAGTGACAGCCTGCTCACCATGGTCTGCACCACAGCCTGCAGGTGGATCTTTGCTTTGGCACCTCCTCCCCTCATTCTTCACTGACCTTGGTGTCTGGACTGTGGTTTCTCACTCTGCACCCCTCTGGACTCAATTACTTCTGCGAAATAACTTTATTCCCTTCTCAAATATGTTACCACAGAGGTGTTACTATCATTCCTGACTGGCTCAGCCTTCAGCAGCCACAGATCCATCTTGGAGCTGGCTGGCAGTGGCTCTGTCAGATATGGGGGAAACTTCTGGCAGCTTGAAGTCACCCCCATAGGCCCGCACAGGCCCCCACTACCAAAACCTTGCTGTGCAAACCCAATACAATTATTCAGCTGGGGAACATGTTACATTTAAAAAGTGGCAGTTAAGGGTGATGTTTTACAATTCTTTTTCTTATTAATTCAATAAGGAAATTTCTCATTTACTTCTGAATATCCCTCAATCAGAGACTAGTTAGCAGCACTACCTAGCCCAAAACTGCAAACACTCTAGCCATTATAACCCATACCCAATATCAGTATGCCAAATAACCCAGTGATTACTTCTTCGTAGGATCAACAATTTTCCCCATGAAAAATGTGGTGCTGGTTTGTTTGTCAGAGATCAAAATAAGGAAGGGCCTGTTGAATTTGATGGTTTCAGAAGAATAGGAAAATCTGGTAGAGATTATGGCAGTGCCTCCTACAGCTTCAGTGCCAGCCTCATCAACTTCCAGCAAGGCTTTGTGAACTGCCTGCACAGAATAGGAAAAAAAACACTGAGGTTCATACATGGGACAGGAGGAAGGAGTGAAATAAATTCTCTTCTCATGGAACATTTAGGAGAAGAAAGGAATAATAAATCCAGTGGATGAAACTTTACTGTATTATAAATCTCCAACAGTTTGAAACAGGAGTGTTTTCTATGCCAGGACTGAGCAAGGAGGGCCAAAGATTACCATGGACACACTGAAATGCATTTTCACCAGTGCTGAGTAGAGTGGGATAAAAATACCCCATGTATAAGCCAGTTTATTTTCTTAGATGGTTTGGGCTTAGGCTAGCAACACTTTCTCTTATTTCAAAGTTAACTGAAAACTTCTATTTATAAGCTAATATGGGGCATATTTGGCATCTTTAGCATTAAATCATAGCTCAAACTGACATTATCAAATTCTGCTACTGCAAACTGGAGATTTCCTGAAAACTTGGGGAATATTAAAAATTGAGATATTAATCAACACAAATATCATAATGAGCTCCTCATTTGTAGTTTACTTGACACAACTTCATGTAAGCTATTATATTCCACTGCCAAGAAGTTATTTAAAATGTTGCCCAATTTTTCTATGTATTTAATATCCAGCTTTTTAATAGCAGCATTAAAGTAATACAAATGTGAGCTGGGAGATTCTTTCTGTAAAAAAACACAATTACTGAGCTATCCCCTACTTGTCTTTGTGAGTTTTACTTAGAACTTCAGTAATATAAAGAGGGAAATAATGTCTTTGAAAATCCCAGACACAGCTGATCAAAACAACCAACCACCATCCCATCACCAGCTCTGTCTACTTACCTGTGAAACCTGGAGATCATGATTGCTGCTAATTCCAGACAGATCAGCATTACCTGAGAACAATTCAGTAATTCCCATCTGCTCAAACACGGTTTTAACATCATAAGATCCACTAATAGAAAACTTTGGTAACTGCAGATTTAATCTCCTGTTGATCAAAGAAAACAAAAGAGCAGTGAGCCCTTGCAGCCTCGTCTCAGCCAGCAGGGTGGATAGTACGCAACTCAGCAACACTTGAAAGCATTCTTTTGATTGCGAATTTGTTTGATGGTAGTCTTTGTATTCCTTGAGCAATTTTGGCATCCTGAGAGATGCAACATCTTCTTGTATCTACATTCTCTGTTGAATTTTGGGAAAAGAAATGTGTTCATTGTTGCTCTTTCATTCCAGTGCCACATGCGCAGCTAGTAGAGATTTTTGGCTAAAGGGTTACGGAGAGTAAGCAGACCACTAGTGAGAAGTAAGGGAACTCATGTAAGGGAAAAGGAGGATAAAATCTAAGACATGGTGAACGAAATGAATCATGTTAACACCATGAAAGAAGAGGTAAGGAGTCAAAAAGTAGCCAAGCAAGTTTTGAAGCAGCTGTTACAATGCTGTGACCCCTTCTGTCAGGTCACAGAGCCTGCAGTTTGTTGGTGATTACGCTCTGCTCTGACTCATTTGGGGAATTGCTTAAAACTTCCCTTTATGAAATCAGGACATTATGTCCAGTAGGAGTTGATCTGAAATTGCCATTTTCTCTTAAAAAGAGTGATGTGTTCCCAAATATAGAAGTCCATACACTTAGAGTTACCTGGTCACAAGTTTGCTCTGCCATTTACAAACAGTTTCCTTGGAGAGAGCATCTTCCACTTGCTTCATCTTTCCGTCACCAGGCAGAATAAGCAATGCTCGTACAAATCCCTGGTAAGGCAGCTCTACCACCATACAGGAGAGATCCTGGTCATAGTAAGTGTTTGAGGTACCATCACGCTGCATCATATTGACTCTAACAGATGCATTTGTGTTCACAAAAAAATCATCCTCATATGTATGCAAAGGATCAAAAGACTTTTCCCAGGCAGCTAATGGGGAAAAAGAGATGTTGTTGCACTCAAACATGAAGATCATAAAGAATGGTTTATCTAAATTAGACCAGCTTTAATGTAGGACACTGGAGGCATATTGATGGGAGAAGAAGCTAATTAAATCACTTCAACCTCCTCCATAACACACAATCAAACATTCTAACTGTGCAGTAAACTCATCATATTTCATGTGAGCACATCATGTCTTGCTGAAGAACAACCAAAGGCTGATGACCAGTTGAGTCCTTCTTCTACTGTGAGCCTGTGTAATGCCTTTTACGCCATTTAAAAGCAATCACTTAAGCATTCAGTCACCTTCAGGACCTTCTTATGCCTTTTCTGTTAGGCTGTAACCCACACAAGCTCGCTGCACTCAGCCTGGTGTGAAATTCATCAGCAATTAAAGAGTCCTAATGTTTGAGCAAGGCTCCAGGAGCACAGGCCCTCAAGATGCTATGTCCCAGGTTTTCATGCAGGGCACCTAGTAGATCTACCATAAAACTGGGTTCCCTCTGCAAGGATGTCAGTCCACCAAGTCTGACCGGCTTGTACAGTCAGCATAGAGATCTTGGACACATCTTTAGTCATTATGGCCTCAACCAGTGAGACTATGTGGATCCTTGTCTATGAGGCATCCACTAGAGTGGAACTTTTCTGTCCACAGCTTTCAAGCAAATTGAGTCAAAACCAAGAAATCAGTATTTCTCAGCAATCAGATGCTCTGCTTTTGGCCAGATCTAATCTTTACTTGAAAGTAAACTGCACAGTTTATCTCTTTCCTAAATTGTCACTCTGGTAATAAGTCATCAGAAGTTCCCTAAAATTTTTATTTTGTATCAAAGCTGTCTATTGAAATATTATGTTAAGTATCTTACCTTTAAAATAAATATAGTTAACAAGAACCAGTACAGTACTTGGATCAAGATGACCAACTAATTCAGGAATTTTCCCCTTGGTTTTCTCCTCTACATATTTATTGATTTGCTTTGTAGCTTCTTCTGGTTTATGAAAATCACTAGAGTAAAAATCTACATCATAAAATTCTGTGGCATTTTGTAAAAATGAGTCATGTGGTTCATACCCATTAGCTGTAAAAAGGGCATTCCCTATATTCAATGTGAAATTAACACCAGTACAGTTCAGTACTGACAAAACTTTGTGAAAACTTTCATGTACATCACGTACGCTAGTCTCAGTCAGGTCATCAAAGCCCAGGCCTTCAAGAATCTCAGACAGAGTGGTTGATTTAGCACCAACAGCCAGCATGGCAAAGGCAGTGGAGATGCTTATGGGAGAAAAGAAAACATTTTTATCAACTTCTTTTGATGCAGCCTCCTTGTAAAATCTAAATACAAAATCTGCATAGTTAGAGCCTTTCTTGTAACAGCTGAATGTTAATAAATTTTCTCTTCCATCCTGCAGATTAGTATTGTTGGCTTCATGGCAAATGTCTTCAGGGCAGCAATGGATTACAGCACAAAGAACAGCAAGGAGTAAACACAGGCACAGGAGACACTTCATCTTCTTTTCAAATTATTCTGCCACAAAATAAACAGTCATTAAATGAGCAGATGATAATGATGTGCTTGGTAGTAATAAATAATGAATAGTTTGTTAGCATAAATGTAGCATAGTTCAACAGTAAATATCTAATGTACATAACATGCTTAAAGTTCTCATGGACACAATGTCAAATTTATTTAACAAATTCAAATAGGTTATAGATTAAAATGTCAGGCATAATAAATTCATAATATTCTATGGTAACTGCTCTGAAAAAGTAATACTTTTTTTCACTGGCAATGAAAATATAGAGCTACAGCCCATAATAATCTTTGTTAACAATGACATTTTCTTCCCAAAACACTGTCTCCTGCAGGGTACCTCTAAACAAACAAGTTATTACAAGGTAAGACAGGGTGTAGGTTACAAAGACATCAAATACTCCACAGCATCTGCCCAAAAGCAACTTGATAAATATAAGGAAATGTGAGGCAGCTCAGTACTCACTGGCACTGAGTAAATTCCCTCACATTCCTCAGGGCAGCCCCACATGGACAGGGAGCTGCCGTAGACTATCCTGTGCTTGTTAAATTCACACCCCTGTTTTCTCACATGGCCAGTCACTGGCCACAGCTGATAACTGATGGAAGAAGGTAATCTATCTACATGAACTTCAAGGCAAAAGCCTTGTGCCATGACAGCAGTGCACAGACAGGTGGGCACAAGGGCATGTGGCAAGCAGCAGGTTTGCATCAGATAATGAGGTGCATGTTTGGAATGAAGGAATCTTCCTTTTGGGAGAGCTGCAACGAGTGTTTGTAACTTCTTAAGTGGTGGTTTGCCCCTCACCATGGGTTAACCTGCATGGCATGTGGGAAGGACCTGGCTCAAAGAGGAAGAGAGCACTCATCCCATTTGGACATCAAAGGACACAGATTAATTCCCTTGGAGATTACAAGTTTCTTCATTATGCTTGCTCTCCTAAAGCTGACATGATATACTTCACAAGAGCCGCCAGCTCTCCACACGAGCTGGAACAAGTCTCTGCTTTACTGAATTCAGCTCCCTGCAGCTCTGTGGAGGCATCTCATATAAACCCTCTTCAGAACTGTAATGAGCTATCAATGAAAATACTCAGATTTTCAAAATTTCAAATTCAAATATTCCATGTGAAAACATTTCTAGGATTTTTCTACTGTCATGGGTCCTCTTCTGGTTTCCAGCCAATACAGCCTATTTGTAACCTTTTCTATCAGGAATGTACATTCCCATGTCCCTGGTAAAGTTCTCTTGGTCCTACCTTCATTCCTAGATGTGACAGATGACTGTATATAGCACCTAAAGATTTAGAATTTCTGATGGGAGCCCAAGTTCAAGGCTTCTTGGTGATTAACCAGTTGTTTTATTTTTGTATTGATGGTCTTTCTTGTTTTCATAGCAAACAGAGAGATAGCTGTGTGTTCTCGTATTTGCTAGGATCTGAGTGTACTGAGCCCAGCCAAGATCAGCCAGGGCCCACTGCACTGGCCACAGTAACGAGTAGTAACACTAAATTTGAATTTCCTTAAAACAAAAGATGGAGTATGGCCCTAGACAGGAATGCAGTTTAACTATTTTCATCTATTTTAAGCAGAACTCTGCCTTTTTTTCACAACAACAACAACAATAACAACAACAACAACAACAACAACAGAGGCAAAATTGAAACAACCCTTATGTACTTATGTGGAATAAAGAAGAAGTAATACAGTGTGAAAGGTGTTTCCTACGATATTGTTTGATGTTTAACATGTCATAGTCTGTTTTTCTCTAGTTAATTGAGATATTGGACACTTTAGTGAGAAAGAAAAAAAATAGTTTTACTTCCTATGTCCATACAGGGCTCAGCCTAAATTTTAAAGAATACTGAAGCAAAGAGTACGGTTTGGGGTTTTTTCTGCAGCAAACTTATATTAGGCATGTTTTTAACTTCTGCTGTAACAAATTAGTTAAAAAAAACTTATCCTGGTATCATAATTCTCTACAGAAATCTAAAATAAGTACTTCTATCAAAAGCTGGAAAACATTGAATATTATCATCTAGTTTTCCTCACCTACTTTTCCTTTTAAAGATGAAAATCATGTTAATTTCAACATTTTGAGATTAAAAAGTTTTTGACACCAATATTTTAGTTAACATTTCAAAGCTGAAAAAATTGTAAAAGCTTTGTTAAGTCTGGAAGTACTTTTTATGCAAACTGGAAATTCAGAAAATAATTCTCTTCCAGACCACGTATTAGTTTGTCTATAGGACTAAAAGGAGCAATTAAATTTAAATTGTGGCCTTACACCCACCCCCTACACTTACCCCAGTCCTAATTAGAGAGCCTGGCCTTAGCAGTTCAATTGTTGCTTTATAAATTAAGTCACCAGAAGAGTTTTTAAATTGGACCTGGTTGTTCAGTCACTAGTGGGATTATACTAATTTTGAGTCACTGTGAAGGCTGTTTCCAACCTGAAAGGTGATTACATCAGTATTCTCTTTTAACAAGTACTTAATAAGTCCCCATGACTTCAAAGGGTTTTTTAGTTTGATTTCAGTCTAAGCATATTCCCCCAGAACAGCAGGTCCCACTGGTCCCTTGCACATCTGCTTGGTTAATATTTCATTGCAACATCCACACAGAACCAAATCACAAACAGACAAAAGAAATTAACCTAGTACTAAAATTCCATTGACTGCAGAAAGCATCATTTCCAACTCTCTAAAAGAAATGCATGTGCAGTACTTACAAAATCAGAAGCCCCGTTGCATTCAGCTGACCATGCTGTTCCCCACACTGTTACTTATACTGCTTCATCATCTTCTGCTTAATTAGAGATGTTAAACATTATACAGACCCGATAAAAATTAGAGCCAACCAAAAGAAAGGAGGAAACAAAGCAAATATTGATGAAACAGAGTTCGCAAGGATCATCTCTGTTATTCAGCCAAAGAAGCTGACAATCTTCAGCCATTTCAACAGTAGCTGTAACATCCTCTCTGTTGCCTCTGACCATGCGGAGGAGCTTGAGTGCAAATGTTGTGTGATTAGGACCCTACTGGAAACCAGGAGGTTGTGCCTCAATCACTAGAAACAGGAGCTAACTCTTGGTGCCAGAAGTCAGACTTTCTGTGTTGTGATGAAGCACACATGGAGCTGACAGACACGTATCACAGCCGCTCTTCCAAAATCTATCCAGAGACAAATCTTCTGCATGATCCTCAGCCTGTATATGGATAACAAAGTAATTGCCTGTACCTTCTCACTCTGTAGATTAGTACCACTGTGGGGGTATGTGATAAACACATTTCCATGGGCGGTTTCCCACCCTGGCTGATGCGGTCCCTTCATCTGTCTCAGTTCTGTGTGCATCTCAGTTACTGCCTTGGGCAGGTGGTGGGAATGCAAGTACAGGCTGTTTACTCCCACATGTTGGCATACTGCATGTGCGCACCCATTCTCATTCTCCTTGCCCTCTCACACACTTTTAAATTGTTCAAATGAAAACAAGTGCTGTTTGTTCCTATTAACTTTTCCCAATAGGAATGAAATGCTGATGGATCAAGACGACTGAATTTTTCCAGTTAACAAAGACCATGATTGAGTGGTGACATAAATTATATTTCCCCATTTGTGATGACTCTTTTCTTTGTACTTGTTTACTCACATGTGTAATTTTGTTGTTACAAACATAGATAAACATGGAGACAGAACACAGATATATATTGTCTGGACACTCCCCTTCTTTGTTTTCCTCTGTATTTCTTCCCTTCTCCCCCCTCCCCTCTTCCCTTTTTACTTCCTCCTTCTAACTCTGGCTGTAAAGGTCACAAACACAGAGATTATTTTACTCATCAAAGCCCAGGTGAATAACAGGTCATGGTGGTCAAGGACAAACTGTGTTACAAAATGGTTATAAGCCTCTTGTTTTCTCTTTCATTTGTGATGCCTTGTAATTACTGTTTTGTTTTTAATAATGTTAAGCTAAACTTTAACAAGGCATTTCCTTACCATTTCATTATGGCAGCAGAAATAAGGTAGTACAGCAGCTTGAAACCAAAACGATGAGCAGACGCACTCGTGCCAGGTGTACCACGCACTGCCACGAGCTATTGCAGTCCCACCTCCCTGCTGACCACAGTTTCAACTCTAACTCACGAAACCATGTTAACCAGCTTCATACAGATCATTTATCTATTGAACTAGATCTTTTGCTCTACTGTTTTGTTTTTTTTTTAATAGGAATAAAAGTACAGGACAAGGAAATACCAAAACAGATGTGTTTTATTCCTTCTGATAATTAAAATCATGACAAAGTTTGCATTGCCTGAGTCCATGTTACTGCTGTATAGTTCATGTAGGTCAGTTTCTATACCACACCCCAGCTCACATTTTGACATCTTTAGATGAAATAGAGCCATATATTCATTTCATGCATTTGCTAATACCTTGCAAACATCTTCCTGACAGTTTTTTTTGTGTTGAATAGAACATTTCAAAGCAGGTTTAAAGAGTTCTTAATTAACCATTGACTGGTATATTCAATGGCAAGAGAGCCACTCAACTTGTCCAGTGTTCTTGTTATGCTTCTGCACCTTAGGTAGGGAAATTAGAGTTCTTGTGTCAATTTGACAATAATAAAACTCTTCTGGGATAATGGCTGACAAATACACAAGTTATAAACCTATTATGTCATAATTTACACAAAGACGTTTTAGTGTAAAGAATATAGACCACAAACATATTGACAGAGCAGCAATATGAAGGAAATGGAGTATGGAATTAGGAAGGAAATGGACATTGCCCTCCCCTCCATTTCCTTGCTGATAGCCTTGAGTTATGTAATAGTCTTTGGGAAGGATCAGGCTCTCAGAGTGCAGGAAAATTGCTAGGATTGGAGATGTAAGCATGCCTGGTGAGCTATGTTTTTTCTAGTTTGGATGAGGTATATAATGAACAATAAAGGCACAATCTGCTCATAGTGGTCATGCCATGCTTTCAATACGT